CGGAAGATTTAAACCTGAGGACCCTTGATGTCACTGTTTAATGCTCTGGAAGCTCAGCCACAAAGGTAGCCATAGCACTGCCACCAGGCATTGCAGACTGGCCCTCTTCACTGACTTCCAACTTAGCAGAGAGCTTGAGAGCTCTCTCTCCTGAGATGTCAGGATTGGTGCTAGAAATTCACTTTGGCCAAGTGAGTGAGGGGCATTGTGTTACATGGAGAAGACTCTTCCAAAGAGGTTATCATCCCTGGACTCCGTGAATATGTGGCCTCCCACAGACTTGGGTGATCTGACTCTGTCATACCAGAGGCAAGGGAGCTGACTCTGGATTATGCAGGTGGGCTAAAGTGATCACCTGAGTAGTCAGAAGAGAGAGGCACAGGGGTCACAGACAGCAGGTGCCATGGCAGTGAAGGCTGCAGGTAGAGTGAAGCCAAGAAAGGGCCCAACCCCAGAGTTTCAGGGCTTCTAGAAGCCAGCAAGACTGGTAGACTGATGCTGCTCTGAAGTGTCCAGAAGCCTCCAACATCCAGCCCTGCTACCATTCTTGGATCACCCTGGTCTTAGCACTCCTGACCTCCAGAACTGTGGGGTTAATCAAACAGACTGGGTGTGAACTTCTGAGAACGGTACAGAGCAACATGGGTGGTTGACTTTCTTTTCCCTGAATCTTGAGGATACCCACATCCTGGAGAGGGCCAGACCAGAGTGCACTGGGACCTATCTAAGGGAAGAAGTTAGGTTGAGAGCTCCTACTCAGGCCTTCTAGTGTCCCTTAGGTAACTTCACCTATACTCTTCCTGGGAACCAAAGGAGTCAGTCCATCCTGTGAAAGTGCCCCAGGACCCCAGGGACCAGGCTTCATGCTAGTTTTACTGTAGAGCATTAGGCAGGTGACAGCCTCCACTTAGATTCTTAGGCAGCTGATTGGGAAGGCATCAGTGCAAATAGCAGATGTATACATTGTTTTCTGCTGAGTAATTTTGCTGTGCACAGCAAGAAAAGGGATATCATGTAGGGAAGGCCTCTCCCAGGGATTGATGCTAAGGTTGAGATGTACGAAGACGGGAGATATTTTAGCCAATATAGGAAACACTATGTCCCAGCTCCTGGAAGTGCCTGGCCCAAAGGGGCTGTGGCTGTTTGCAAGGGGAGATGAGGAAGTAGACTTAGCTCATCTAGAGCCGCAGGATCGGCTACTCAGGGGTCAAGCGACTTCATTTGATCAAGAGGCAGTAGATGCCAGGGAAGGTTTTAAGTAAGACTAAAATTTGCAATTTCACTTAAGAAAATAGCTGTTTTGGCTGGAGTCTGGAGATTAAGTGGAAGAGGGCAGACTGTGGCAGCGGGAAGCCAGTTGGCAGCAGCTGTGAGCTCAGGCTGGAGCTGGGATGACAGACGGCCACCATGGCCATGGTGTTGTTGCTTGTCTCCGAAGTATGTTTCCAAAGGACAAAGGAGTGGCCGTGTGAGAGGTGCTGACCAGCAGCAACACAGACGGTGGCTATTTATGGGTAGGCAAGTCTGGGGGGAGTCAAGCTTAAGGTGGGGACAGGCAATTCAGTGTGGAGGCCAACATTGAGGATCTGCCTTGACATCGCCAGGGAGATGCAGATTGACAAGTGTGAGCATGAGTCATGCTCAGTATACAGAATGGAAATGAAGATTTAAAGGGCTTGGGAAAATGTTTCCATGTTCACACTCAGCAAACACCCAGTATGTGCACTGGGCAAATGATACTGTGTTTGATTGCCTTGGATCTCAGCACTCTCTATTTCAGCCTCAGAAGCTAGGACAGAGCAGGTCTTGGGACTGTTCTGCTCTTTCTCTGATATACTAAATACGTTAGCTACCTATGGCTTTGCTCAAGTTAGTGTGGACTTCATATTCAGAGAAACACAGATCCGCTTCTGTTTAGTGTTTATGGGGCAGCTCTCAGGTCTCTTAGCTGGGTCCTGAGATCGGATCTCACAAGGCTGCAATTGAGGTGTTGCTAGGGCAATGGATGCAGCCAGAACCCAGTGTTTCCAGCTTTCCTACACTGTTGGTCACATCCTGTTCCTTTCTGTCTGTGACATAAAAACTTTACTTGCTAGATGCTGTCTGCTAAAGATAGCTCTTGACTTGATGTTACGTGTAGAGTCTGCCATGTTGGGACTTCCCAGGGATCTACGACTTCCTGTGTCACGGTGCAGGAGAGAGACTCCTGTGAGGTGGGAGCTTGTTCAGTTACAGGTATCCTGCTACTTTTACCATGTTCAGTTATAGTCAGGGGAATGTGTCACCTGAGGGTACAGGTCATGGGAGGTACCTTGAGAGACAGCCAGATAGGACTGCATCTAATTTGCCACTTGGCCTCTTTTGGAAGGAGCCAAAGCTCAGCAGAGGCAGCCTTTTAGAAGGTATAAAGATTCCTCATTAGAGCCCTCAGGCCTGCAATAGCGCAGGCACACAGTTTTACCTCTGGAGATGAGTCTCCTGTGTGCCTATGGCTACACCTTTGGCAGGAAAATCTCCGAATTCTGTTCTGCCATGCCGTCACTGCTGTAGCAGCTCTTACCCTGGCTGGGCTCTGCCACTCTCCTGGGTCATGGCAGCAATTCTGTTGTCTGTCTTTCCTCATCCACATGCCTTCTCCTGGAGCTTTAACCGTTCCTCCCTGTGATTTAGTAGAGCCCATGCTCCCAAGCCCAGGCTTCATGCTCTCACATCCAATCACCGTGCTCCCACACTCAGGCTTTGTCCTTCCCATATACAGGCTTCAAGTGTCCTTCCCACTTTTCTTTCCTCAGCCCTGGCTCAAGCAAACCTCTCACCCTCTGAGAAGTAGCATTGCCCATGCTGCTGTTCAGTTGTTGGGAGCACCAATCCTTTGAAATCCTAGGAGCCTTGCTTAGGCTTCTGCTCTTGCAACCACAATATACCTCCTTGGTTTGTGCCATTTCTCTTTCACATGCCGCTGTCACACGTTGATATACTCTGTCCTTTCAGGCGTGGTCCATGGATGTCTGCTCAGTGCACTTTCCTGATGACCACTTCACTTCTGATGTAACAGAACGTTTTGTTCTTTCGCTGCTCTCCACTCCTGTTTCCACCTAGGTGTCCTCAGGATCTTCCACAAAACTTGTTGATAGCATGTATCCCACACATCTTGATTGACTAGAGGGATGGATGTAGCGGATGAATGGATATGTGGATAAGTAGCTGGATCTTTAGATAGGGAAGATACATGGATAGATGAGTAGATAGGTAGTGGACAAACTGATGGATGTGTGGGTGGATGGAGTTATGGATGGGTGGGAGGTTGGGAAGATGGATAGATGAGTGAATGAATGTATGTACGTGTGGGTGGGGGAGTAGATAGGTAGTTAGGTGGGTTGGAAGATGGATTGATGGATGGATGGGTGGGTGGATGGGTAGATGAGTAAGTAGATGGGTGTGTGTATGTATGTATGTATGTATGTATGTATGTATGTATGTATGCATGTATGTATGGCTAGGGGAGGAGTAGATGGTGGATGTAGGTATGTATGAACAGGTAGGGATGCTTGAACAGGTAGGGATGCTTGAACAGGTAGAGATACTTGAACAGGTAGGGATGCTTGAACAGGTAGGCAGGTACATGCATGGCCGATGAAGGCGCTGCAGTAGAGCTGTGTGCAGATGAAAATATGAAAAGCCAAAATCCATTTAAAATCATTTTCTGGGAGAATGCTCCATATTGTATTAATTAACTCAGAAGCTTGCAAATCAGGCAAATGCTAATGAAGGAGGGAGCTGGCAGAGTACCTACTTCATTCATCACTTTCAGCTTAGGCCTGGCTGTGCTTGTTTTTCTGGTAAATAAGGGAATGAAATTATGCCATATTATGAGTTGCGGAATTTTCACTTAAGTCCAGAGTTGCCATAATTTCTGTTGTGGGAGTATACTTTACATCTAACTCAAGACTGGAGAACATCTCCATTTTCTTGGGCATCTATCAGCATGAACTCAGAGGGTTTTAGTAAGAGGCAGTAGCATTTGGAGGGTCCCACTGTGTGAGTTGGAGGGATCTGTACCATCCTAAAATCTCTGCTGTGATTATCAATAATCCCTTCTGGAGTGTTTGCCTAACTCCCTCCTTTCTACCTCAGTTTTCTAAAGCAAGCTATAAGATGGAGTAGTAGTATCAACAGAAGTGTGTCTGTGATGCTCAAATATATGAGAGATCCTTAGGGACCAACTTTACTTCTTTGTGTGTGTATATGTATATGCAGCTGTATGTAACACATAAGTGTGTACATGTATGTGTGTGCATGCACACAAGCCAGAAGACAACTGTCTTTGTTAAGGTTTCAATTGCCCTGAAGAGACACTAGGACCATGGCAACTCTTATAAAGACAACATTTCATTGGGTGGTTCACTTACAGTTTCAGAGGTTCAGGCCATTATCATCATGATGGGGAGCAAGGTGGCGTGCAGATAGACATGGTGCTGGAGTAGTAGCTGAGAATCCTACATCTTGCAGGCAACAGGTATTTGACTGTCACACTGGGTGGTATCCTGAGCATAGAAAACCTCAAACCTTGCCCCCACAGTGACACACTTCCTCTAACATGGCCATACTCCAGCAAACAAAGCTACACCTCCTAATAGTGTCACTTTCTATCATAACTACCACAACAATCTTGGCTGCCATTCCTCAGAGGACTGTCCAATCTGTCTCTTTCCTCCCCTCCCTTTCCCTCCCCTCCCCCACCCCTCCCCTCCCCCTCCTCTCCCTATTCACTCTCTAATCACTATTAGGAGATGTGCCCTTGTAGAAGTAGGCATGGCTTTTTTGGAGGAAGTGTGTCATTGTGGCACCAGGCTTAGAGGTCTCTTTTGCTCCAGCTTTGCTCAGTATGGCACTTAGTCTACTTCCTGTTGCCTTCTAATGAAGGAAGGGGAGAGGGGAGGAGGGGAGAAGGGAGGGGAGGGGAGGGAGGAGGAGGGGAACATACTAGTAGGAACATGGAAGACAGTGGTCCAAAGAGTTATTTGAACTGTGGGGAACTGGCTCAAGAGGTTTCAGAAATCGTTCCTGTGACAGTTTGGTGAAGAATGTAACTGCTTTTTGCCCTTGTTTGAAGAGTCTACCTGAGGATAAAAGTGAAGAGTTTTGGATTAATTCCATTGGCAGAAGAAATTTCAAAATAGCTTAGTATAGACTCTGTTGTATGGTTATTAGTGTTAACTTTAATGAAGATTTATAATGAAAAGGAGCATGCTGAGCAAATAAAAATGTACAGATTGAGAAAAGAGGCACCAGGAAGTGAAATAGAGATAAATTCTGTGTTTAAGAAGACAAATGAATTAAGAAATGGAAAAAAGGGAGTGGTGACCTTAGGGTAAGATCCCACCCAGCTAAGTTTCCAACTTGTGAAAAGGAACTGAAGAAAAGCTTAGAGCTAGATATGGTTGACACACCTTTAATCCAAGCACTGTAAAGGCAGAGAGTGGCAGATCTCTGAGTTTGAGGCCAGTCTGGTCTAGAGATCCAGTTTCAGGTCAACCAAGTTTAGGCAATGAAGGACAGAAAGCCGATGAAGATGCAATTGAACAAGTGGGCCATGTTCCAGCCCCAGTAAGCAAAACTTGGCGGCTTCGGCCATGCGATTATGAAGTTAAGGATAGAAAAAAGGGACTCTGGAATTTTCCCTCAAGAGGCTGTGATGTGTGACTTTTAATCCTCGGGACTCAGATTTCCACAGGAGCTGCAGCTCCAGCATGTGTCATGGGTGTCTCTGAATGTGAGGCCTAGAGAGGTCATTTCGTGAAGCTGTGAAGTTGAAGCCTGGATTGCCTTGGAGAACCCAAGCTGTTGGAGATGCTAGAGCTCTGGGATATCTGCTGAAGGAGAGCTGCTAATAGGGCATGGGACCAGTCCCGGAGAAAAAAGTGCATTGCAGTCAACAAAGCTGAAAGGAGAGGGGGATCTGAAGAGGCCTTTGACATGAGGCATGTAGATGCAGTTTGGAGTTTGCCCAGTTGTTTTTCGGTCTTGCTTTGGTCCAGTATTTCCTTACTATGCTCTGTTCCCTATGTTTTGGAATGGTAATGTATATCCTGTGCATTATATATTGGAAGTATGTGATCTACTTTTCAGTTTTGATTTTACAGGGGTTTACAGTTAAGAGATTGCATGAATCTCAGAAGAGACTTTGAACTTTGGACTTTTGAACATTATTGAGACTGATAGACTATGGAACCTTTTGAAGTTGAACTAAGTGCATTTTGCATTATGATATTGTTACAAGCTTACGGGCCAGGAAGCTTGAATGTAATTGGCCACCATAGTCTCATAGGGAGTGGCACTATTAGGAGGCATGGCCTTGTTGTCTTGGGTGTACAGAGACCTCGCTTGGGGTCCTCATCCACAGCCTCTCCCTGTGCAGACTTGAGACACCCTCAACAGTTTACACATGTTCTTTCTGTGTCTTGAGACTTTCCCAATGTACCCTCACCCTGCTGTGGGTCTGGAAGTAGGCACCATCCTCTAAGACACTGGCACCCACTGCCCCATATGGTACTGTCTCATTCTTCCTAAAATAAAGGTCCTTTGGCCAGCGGGTCTGAGTTCTACCCATGTCACACCACTCTCTCTCTTCTAACTCATCTCACCGCTGCACAAATAGTCTTGCACAGGACCCCAGTCCTAAGATCTGAAATATAGGTGCTCAGTAAATGTGCATTGAGTGAGTGATTGGTAAGAAACAAGTGAGGGGAAGTTGGTGAAGACTGTTTATAAGCAACTAAAAAAACAAGGCAATGTCTTGGAGGCACCGCAGAACCGCAGAGAACTCAGTCAGACCAGCCTGAGTCTTGCTTGTGACATTGGTGATATTTGAGGGAAGGAAGGGGACTCCTAGAGGACTTTTAACACCGAGGCCAGGACAAAGCTACTTTGTAGCATCTGGAGCTGCCTACCACTGGACATATGATGTCAGGTTTAATATATGGTACTATTGTTATCACCCAGAATTTTCCCCTGCCTTTTTCCCTTACGGCAAAAACAGAAGTTTCCTGTCCATCCGCTCTGTTATTACTTCTCTGGTTATGAAAATGGCCAGGTTGATAAAGGAAAAGGGCTTCCTCCTTCCCAGAGAGAGTCTTGAATATCTTATGAAACACCCCAGCACATCCTACTGTGACACCGTGCTGAGCCTCCTGCAGGAGTTGCCTTATTAAAGAGTTCTTTTGACGAAATGGGCCAGTGTGCACAGGGAAAACTTGCTTCTGTTCAAAAAAAATCACTCGAACGTCATAAATATTTTAGGGAGTTTCATCTGCGCTCCGCTTTCTGTGCATTAATCTGCCACATTGATAACTTTTCAAGACAAAGTGTCCTGCCTTGTTCTCACATGCATGTAGTGCATCGCCACCAGTGGGTTTCCATCTGTGCTTTGCCCTCAGTTCATATAGAAGGTTCTCACCCTTGTCCCAGGAGTCCCACTCAACATGTGCGGGCGGGCTCACAACATGAGAATTATGTGGTTTGGGTGTTCTGGCCCACCCAGTCCGCTAGTACCCCTGCTAGCTGTGTTCATGGCTTTGTGTTGCCTTGCACGTCCTTTATGCTTTTGACCCCCCCTTTTCCAAGTTCCAGAGGTAGCCTGAGGTTCAAGCTGGGGAATAACAGAAAAGGGAGCTTTCATTGGATGGAACCTGTAGGATTCTTTTCAGAAACTGGTGACATCATCAGAGGGGGCATGCCAAAACTAAATAAAGGCATTCTTTTCAAAAATTCTAGTGGTGGGAGGCGTGAGGTGGTGAAGCAATTGACCACAGCTGACAATTGCTAGGGGGCCCTATAGACCTCCAGGCCAGGGCCATAGAGGGCTGTGGGGAGAGGGCTTCCCCGTGGAAGGACAAAGCTCAGCCTATCTGGGTTGTACCTCTTCTTTTTTGGCCATATTTATTCTCCTGTCTTGTTTCTTGCTGGTTTTGCCCACAGTCTGGGTTCATCTAGAAGCAGAAAGATTAGAGCTACTGTTGTCTAAGCCCTCTGCTTGCAACACAGTGCAGACTAGAGGCAGGTTTTCAGGGACACACAAGGCATGTTCAGCCTGAAGGATTTAAGTGTCATTCATTTTCACAAGGCTTCTGTGCTGAATCTACCAAGCAAGCTTGTAATGATCCACCCCCAGTATTCATTAGAGTAGGAAGCAGGGCTTTGTGATCCAAGACGTGACATGTGATCCATACTTTCAGGTTGAAAGGTTATGGATTGGCAAATAAGGAGACAGTTGTTTTGAGAGATTTATTTGGTTGCCCCACCCCACAATTTGTGTAGGGCACTATGCTAGATGCTAATCTGGATGGTCTGTTCCATCCCACTGTCCCTAATACCTTCTGTACATGCAGAACACAGTGAAGAGTGCCTGTGTCTTTCATTCTTATTTACTTAAATACAGCCTGTTTTCTCTTTAGAGAGAGAGAGAGAGAGAGAGAGAGAGAGAGAGAGAGTGTGTGTGTGTGTGTGTGTGTGTGTGCGCGTGTCCGCGCACACCCAAATGCGCATACACTTGCATTTAGAGGCTAAAGGCCATCCTGAGTTGTCATCTAGTTTGTCTGAGATAGGATTTTTTTCACTGGAATTTGCCAAGTAGGCCAGGCTGTCTGGCCAGTGAGCTCCAGGGGAGGTCTCCATGTCCCCAGCACTGAGATTAGAAGGCTGTGTTGCCATTTCAAGACATTTTTTTTAAAGTTCATTTTCTTACTTTACGTGTATGCATGTTTTGCCTGCATGTATGCATGTGTACCACATATGTGCCTACTACGCATGAAGGCCAGCAGAAAATGTCCAGTCCTTTGGAACTGGAATTACATGGAATTACATGAGGGTACTGGGAACTGTACCTGGGTTAGGACAAGAGCAGCAAATGGTCGCCCTCACCTCTCCTCCCAAAAGAGTAAGAGATAGACTTCAGTTCCTCAGTGCACAACAAACACTGTCCTGACTGAACTATGTCAGCCCTCTTTAGAATTTTCAGGAACGACAACTCCTGTTTGTTAGGACCAGACCCAATTTCCCTTTAAAATTTTTTTTCCAGACAGGCTTTCTCTGTCGCTTTGGAGCCTGTCCTGGAATTAGCTCTTGTAGACCAGGCTGGTCTCGAAGTCACAGAGATCCACCTGCCTCTGCTTCCCGAGTACTGGGATTAAAGGCATGTGCCACCACCCCCACTCAGGGGAGGGGAGGTCAGTGACTAGAGCACAGGGATCAAGCCCTGCTCATCCATGGATTGAGACTACCTGGCTCCAAGGAGTATGACAACAACTGAGCTACTGGGGGCCACTAGGGGCCACGGGGCAGCCAGGCTGGATATGTACAGCCTGGCTTTTCATTCTGAGCTTCCAGATAGCTATGCAGTAGTTGGGATGACTGTGAAGGAACTAGTTGTTTTGCGCCTCACTTTCCTTATTTAGGAACAGAGGATTGGAGTGGATTAAATTCTTGACCTTCCCACTTCCTTACACACTTATGAATCAGTGACTCAGATACTACCCAGAGAAAGTTTGCTATGTAATTTATATATGATTGATCAGTTCACATGCACGTTCACACACATGTATATGTAATTGTCTTTCTCTTCTATTTTGCAAACCAAGCACTTGGCTCTTCATGCCTTTTCATTTCTCTCAGAGTAAAGTCCACCAGAATTTCCCAGTCCCCTTGCCTCCTTACCTGGCCAGCCCTGCCCCTTATCATGGCTGTGAGCGCTGGCACATGCTTATCTCTTGCCTGGGACCAGGACACTGCTCCTCCCGACACTCTTCTCTGCTCACAGGCATTGAGTGCCCTTTCCTACCTGCTGCCAACCTGGTGCCTGCTTGTTATAACAGGGTCCACTCATCACAAGGGGCCACTCAAGGAGTCTTTGCTGCTAATAGCTGGAGACAGGCTATTCCTTTGTAATGTGCTATTCCTCTCAGTACCTAACCCCATGCCTGGTCTGTAGTAGAAGCTGAACTGAGGATATGATATGCAAATATAAGAAGGAATGGCCCCCAAGAGGACTGACATGGGTCTAACACTGTGCAGTTACTGCGTGTTTGCCAGCTCTGGGCTTGACAGCTGAGTGGAGGAAGGGGCAGCTGTTTGGTGTGGTTCCTGCCTGAGGCATACCATAGCACAAGCCTCCTCTGAGGAAGGTCACTGGCTGTTCCTCCTGTAGTTCTTTATAGTATCTTGGAATTGTCACCCTCCAGAGTCTGTAGACTCAGAGCAGGAACTCCTCCTTGGGGCAGTGTCCATGTGTCTGAGACGGGCTTCAGCAAATGCTTCTGACGACTGAACTCTGGGCCAGATGCTGAGGGGCTATAAGGATGCAGGGAACTACTACAAGGGGAGGAAAGAAGATAGGTTGATATTTTGAGCATCTGCATGTGCCTTGGACCCGTGAAACCTCATGGACTGGCCCAGTTCAACTTGTTTCCTGTCGGGACAGCTGCTATAAGACATGTCCCTCAGCCAGGACTGTGGTAGTTATCATCCTACTCCTCAGATAAGTCCAACAGCGGCTCTGGGGTAGGTTTCTGAGGTGCCACTTTATTTACAGCTGTCCTGGGATGCACAGTGAGAACAAACTGCAAGCCTGGTTCATTTTCTGGGATGCAGACCTTGGCTTGGATGGCATTGTTGCCCTTTGTTCAGGCCCCAGATGAGAAGGCAAGGAAGTACTCAGAGTAGCCTTGACTTTGTTCTGAAGGTTGAGCTCACCCCATTATTTACCCACTAAGCATTTTGTCCTTTGTGTTTTCTTTTGATCTGGGTATCAGACTTTTTTTTCTTTTTAAATAATAATTACAAACTGATTTGACCCGGTGAGTTACTCTTTCCCCTGTCCTTCCCATCCTAGGGATAGGCTAGAGTGGAGCCCCCTGCCACTCAAGATGGAGGCAGTGGAGTGTCTGTCTCACTGTGTGGGAGAAGAAGGGGTAGGATTTAGGGGTAGTGGCAGAAGTATTACTGAGTGCAAGACATTTCCTTCCCAGAGCCCCTGTCCACTTGGGGGGCAGTTCCAGCCACTGAGATATTGTTACCAAGGGACAGGGCTAGCTCAGGAGTGGGGAGAGAAACTGGGAAGAGTTGCCTCAGTAGAACTTAAGTCTAGAAGGCATCTGGATGAGCTAATCTGGGGAAGGAGGTCTTGATGTCCACAAGAGAAAGGCAGAAAGAGAGGGTACACAGGGGTGCCCTTCGTAAGACATGGTCCCAGATAAGGAAGGCATGGTACCTCCAGCAAAAAGGGTTGTTCTTATGGTTCTGAGATCATATATAATGACAGAGGGGCAATAGAGGAGACACATTCAGCAGCATTAGTTGAGGGCTCCAAAGAGCTGACTGTTCAGAATGGATTTCCAATTCATTTGTCAATTTGCCATATGTTCATGGAGTGTTTATTATGTGTCAGACACTGTTTGAGTAGTCACCCTTTCCCTGGAGATCTGCAAATGAAGCCTGTGGGTGCTGTCACTAATTATCCCTGTGCCATTGAGTCAGTGAGGAAATGGGAAGCCTACTACTGTAGGGTCTTTATTGGAAAGAGGATGTCCAGAAGTAGGGGAGGTACTGGGGAAGGAGAGATGCAGAAGAGGGCCTCTTGGATTCCCCGTAAGCCATATTCTCACCAGCCAGGCTGCCATCTCTTGCTAGGAGGGTAGAAACACCCCCCTCCCATGTTTTGCTATTGACTGTCAGCACTGTGTCCTCCTGGTAACTCCTAGTGAACAAGATAGCTCCCTCATAAGAAACATTGTGTTACAACTCAATGAAATGGGCACCCCAGGGACATGGGGATCCAGCCACAGCCTGCACATCACAAAGTCATCACAGAACCGCTCAAGAAGTGAGCCACAGACTTTCTGTGTCTAATGAGCCAATGCCTCCTCTCCTGCATGCCTCTCTTCAGTCATCCAGGGCCTTTCCCTCCATTCCCAGCTTCACCATCTCATGATCTAAAGGCTGAGGAGACACATGAAGCTGGGAATAAATGAAACCAAACCAGAATAAGGGAATGTGTGCTTGGCCACCAAGGCAGGAAGCATGTTCATTCCATATCTGCTCTTCTGTTTATTTAGTTTTGGGGGGGTATTTCACTTTTTGAACACATTTTCAAGAAATGCCAATGCAGATTCTGACTTCACATATATATGGGCCTTTCAATTTCACTGATGCTCAAATAAGGGTTTTCAATTAAGTTTACACACATCTATTACATCTTTCTTTTATTTTCACTTGGGTAGCCTGGAACAAAAAAATACCACACACACACACACACACACACACACACACACACACACAATACAGTTTTAAAAATTAAGGTTAACATGGGGCTGTAAACTTTGAGAGAAACCATCATTTTGAATTATATTAGTCCGCATAGTTTGTCTTTTACAAGGCAATGTTAGTTACAGCAAGTTTTAACTACATTCTATTATGATCTGAAGGCAGATGCAAATTAACAATTAGTATTTAAAACTCCAGAGAACAAAAGGAGCCTCCTGTCAATCAAACAACTCTTCAACCTCAGAACTTTTGCCGGGGTCATATAACTGACCACCAGTAGGCAGGAAGCAACCCTGCAAGCATTGTTATAAGTCCCAAATCTATCACTACATACAATTAGCCACCTCCCCACCACACAGGCGCATTAAAAAAAAAAAAAAGGAAACAATCAGAACCGCAAAATCGCCACCCAATTTCTTCCTAGCCGAAAGTTCTGGTGTGATTCCTAGTTTCTGTTTCCTCATATATGAACAGGCCCTTCTCCGCGAATACTGAGGAATGAACAAGAACTTCCAGGATACAGGGGCATTTTCTCCGTTCTTTGTGACATAATAGTCTCTAGTATGATCCCCAGCACGGTCAACAAATAAGATGAAAATCCTTTGTCTTAAAATGCCATATTGCTGTTATATTTAGAAATAGAAAAAGATGGGACTTAAAGATCTCATCTTTTGGTTAGAAATTATTAGTGCGTCACAAATTGCCCTTTGATGTGTGCTCGAAAACCCCGTTGCTTGGCTTTTCCGGTAATACAACCCACTAACTGCCCTCTGGTGTGTGCTCGGAAACCCCGTTGCTTGGCCTTCCAGGTTAATAGAACCCAGAAGCTTTCTTAAAGCTTGCTTTTGAGGACTTGGTCCCTCTTGTGGTTCTGCAAAGCATCGCCAGGCCCGGGCTAAAGCGTCGGTTCTGTTCGGTCACTGGGTAGGGGTACACCCGTCACCCCTGGCCCCCATCACTAGGGTGCCCAGATTACCTACCACTTTAAAAGCACAGTCCCTAGCGTCCCGAAGTCTGCAAACCAGCGAGGAAGCCCAAATCTTCCACAGGTGGGGCTGAGAAGGGAGAGCTCTGGGAAGGCCCCGTGTGGTAGTGCCAGATTCTCCCGTGCTCCGCAGTGGATCCGGCTACGTTCCTTCCATTGAGCATTTTTTGCTGGTACCAAGTACCTATGTGGACACCCTCACCCCACAGACCCAGTGGGACACTCATTTGTGTCGTAGTCTTACTACGTGGACACTGTCACCCTGAGGACCCAGCGGGACATCACCACCCTGTATGACCGCATGGATAACCCAGGTAGATGCTGCCCCACTGGGGCCACGGGCCGATCACCAAAGGGGGCACCTTGGTCTCATTGCCCCCTCTGCGCTCTGTACCGAGTATGCGGGCCGTCATTCTTACCCGCTAGGTGGCATCACAGAACACAGTTACTGCGCACTCTGCCGCATTGCCGCATTGCCGCGCCTGTGCACTGAGATCGGCTGATTGCCGGGCTGTCACAGCAATGGCGTTCCGAGCTTTTGCGTTGACTTTTTCCCCTGCCGACTCAGGGAAGCCCAACTCATCGATACCCTGAAGATGACTGCCACAGTGGAGCCACGCTAATTACCTGTGTGGCTTCACCGTGTGGACTGGGGCCTCTGTGCCCACGCATGGAAGACCTGGACCGTCCTTCTTACGCGATAGATGGCGCCACAGAACGTGTCTCTACCTTGCAGATTGCCGCATTGTCGCGCCTGCGCACTGAAGTCTGGGCAGGCTCGCTTTGCAGACTGCGTCATTTCTGCCTCCACACCAGATCTCGGCAGACGTCTCTTAACTCTGCAGACTGCGGCACGGCTGAGAACTGAGCGGACACCTTTATTGTGGCTCCGTGTCTACGACCGTGGAAGGCCCGGTGGCTGTCCTCATCCCATCCTATCGTTAGGCTGTGTGTGGTAGCCCATCCAAGTCTCCGCGCTTTGTATCCGTATCGGATCGGGGGCGATCCGGTTCTCCGGGAAGATCCGCGCTCTATATCCTGAAGATGGTTGTGTAGAATCACTGCGGCACGGACCGTGGAGTCAGAAGTCTTTCGCTTGTGACCTCTCACACAGATGTGGTCGAGGAATAGGCAAACGACGACGCAGAAAATACCCAGATGTCTCTGTTGGTGCAGTTCATGCGTGGGTGGCGCTGAGGAAAATGCAAGCCCAGAATCCTGCAGCTTGCAAACAGACTGGAAGCTGAATGGAAACCTTTACCCAGGCTCTGTGTCCACGACCAAGGAGGACCCGGTGACCGTCCTTATCCCATCCGGTCGTGTTAGTGGTAGTCGGTATGTAGTAGCCCATCCAAGTGCCCGCACTTTGTATCTGCACGCTGCTGCGGCTCTCGGAATGGATCCGGTTCTCCGGGAAGATCCGAGCCCTGCACCCTGAAGATGGTTGTGTAGAAGACCTGCGGGACGGACCGTGGAGTTGGGAGCCTTCTGCTTATGGTCTCTCACACCGATGTGGCTGAGAAATGGGCAGAAGGCGACGCAGAAAAAAATTCAGACGTCTGTGTTGGTGCAGCTCGTGCGTGGGCGGCGCTGAGGAAACTGCGAGCCCAGAACCCTGCAGCTTGCCAGCCGACTGGAAGCTTGGCCGATCTTTTTACCCTGGAGACGCTGGCATATAGGCTTGCCATTACCCTGTGGATAGGCGCATTGTGGTCGTCGCACAATGATGAACCATGGAGGGTTTCCAGCAGCCTGGCTGGGACCTGGGCGTATGCCCTTACCCAGCCAATACCTGCACAACTATTTGTCATCCTAGTCCTCGGGAACTACACATATTTGTGGCTACACTTCAGTGACTAAACCGATGTCCTTACTCTGGGATAGAGGCACAGTGGAGTCGCACACGGATATCCAGCGGAAAGCTTGAATGGTTTTGATGGCGCATTAAGGTTCTGCATTGTAATTTTTGTTTCCGCGGATGGTGGCGCAGCAGAGCTGCGCACTGTTAACTCAGAGCGTCTTACCTTGTATTGCTGTTGCTTGCGCACTAAGGAATTAAGAGGATGCCTCATTTTGTGATGATGTGGTGGCTGTGCACCAAATGCTCTAGTGGATCTTATCCTGGGGTGTTGGTACAGCAGAAGCCCTTACCTTGTGGATAACTGCGTCATAGCAGCTGTGTTTGAAATACCTAAGAGGATCTTATCCTGGGAATAGTGTTTCTACGTGTCTCATCCTGTGCATTGCAACAACTGTGTACTAAAGATCTGGGACAGAAGCATTGTGGAGCATTTTTTTTAATTCTATGGGCAGCTGCACTGTGGTGGCTGCGTACTACAGATCGAAGTGGATTTACCCAGGGGATGGAGTTATAGTGGAATATTTAGAATTCGTATCGCCACTGCTGTGCAATAAGGTTGAGGATGATGGTACGACCAACTGAGCACCTTTATCTTGTGGATATATGAGCTGTGGCGACTGGGCTTTAAGGATCCAGGATAATTTTTTTTTGGAGCTGGTGGTGCAGTGAAAAGCATCATTTCACTGTCATATTGTGGCGGCTGCGCAGTAAGAATCTAGGCAGATACCCTCATCTTGGGGATGGTGGCAGAGTGGAGCGCTCTCACTCTGATGGTAACCTCATTGTTGTGGCTCGGTATTAAGATGGTATTAAGATCTGGGATCTGAAATGGATGTGTCATCTCCATCTGTACACTCAGGATCTGGGCAGATCGTTTTACTCCGCGCGCGTGCGTAGGTGGAAGCGCAGCTGGAAGCTGGGCGGATGACCTCAGCTTCGTGCGCCACCGTGTTACCATGGAGCCCTGTGCTGGAAGCCCCCCGGAGTGATGGGCTTTAAGAATGCGGGTGGGCTTTCAAACCCTCCCGCCTGTCACAGATGCATTTGCACGTGAGGATCAGGGCAGTTTACTTCCACAGAACGTCTCCCAGCGGGAGCTAGGCGGATGTCTTTTTCCTGAGGGTTATGGTTTTACCCAGTGGAGTCTTTCTTTACCTTATGGATAGCCACATTGGGTGGCATGTTAAGGACCTGGACAGGCTCTGTAGCCCGGCAGACTGCATCACAGCTGCATTCACACATCCAAAGCCTGGCTTGGTGTTTTTATGCTGCAGATGGTCACACTGTGGAGCTTATTGTGCTTGATTGAGTGGCTGCATTAGCACAGTCACTCTCAAGATGGCGCGTAGACGTCTTTATTCTGGAATTTATACTGTGGCACTGGGTGATGATAACCCAGCCGGGCATTTCACCTCCTAGGCAGCTGCACGGGTGTAAGATCGTTGGCATGGTGGCATAGTGGAAGTGTAAAAAAACCCGGCCAAGTTGCTACTACATCTGGAGGACCCAACAGAGCGTCCTTGCCCTCAGGAAGCCATGTTGTAACCCACTGAAAATGTAGTTGGATATCTGCTTTCCGTGAGTGAGCAGCAAGGATGCTGGCTGAGTGAGGGCTTTACCGTGTGGTCAATGGTAGAGTGAGGGCATGGCCAGCAATCCTTATATTATAAGGGAGTAGCATAGGCTGATTCCATTACCTTATAGATGGCTGTGAAGGTCACAGATCACCTTGGCAGGTGAAGATGGTGAAACTGCAGATACACACCTTGATGATCCTGCTGGGGTCCTCATGCGCATCATGGCTGTGGTTGTGTGGGAGTGATCCATCCGGCGATGCCTTTACTATGTTGCTGGAGCAGAGTGGAGCTATCTGCTAGAAGGCATCCTCAATGTGGACAGCAGTGGCTGTGTACTGCGTGCATGGGTTCTGTCTACAGAGGATGGTGGCACAGGAAACCTGCAGACCCATAAACCACTTGGCTTTCTTCAGACTGTGTATTTTAGCATGAATGCTACAGCTCCAAGGAACTGGCTGGGTATCCTTACCCAGTGAAGAGTGGTATACTTTTAACCCTGCCATCTACATATATCGATTGTGGCTGGGCATGTACCAAGGAGACCCAGGTGGACCTTCTTCCTTTTTGGATTGCAACAGGACTCCCATCATACCCCGAGGATCACAGCAGGCTCCATCATCTCACTCGGGGAGAATCTGGGAGGTGTTTTTCTGGCTTCAGCTCACATTGGTAGCTGCTGCTTGTGAGCAGTTCTCTCTCATGGGAGCTGCCCAGTCCTCTTTGCCTTGCCACATTTACTAGGATCTTGTGGCGCATTCAAGGCTTTCAGGACTGACTGGAGGAGAAGACGTCTGCATTGCTGGAACTCCAAGGGCATGGAATGGACATCCCTGCTCTCCAGCCCACAGATCCTCTCCTATCCAGTCCTTTCAGAACTCAACCAGGTTCCACTCCAGTTTTCTCAGGATCCGTTAACGCAAACTCCAACTTCCAGTGGTTCAAACTGGATATCTTGGAGTCGTGTTTAACTCTTCTCTTCAGCCTTCATGCTTAACACTCTAGTAATGCCTGCTTTCTCTGCCTCTTTAGTGCCCCCAGTGTCCAGCAGCTTTGACTCTGCCCCAACCCTGCCTACCTTGTGCTTTGCCTCCCCCCTCCCTCCCCCTGGCACTATCCCTACCCTGCTCCAGCTGAACAGTTAAAGGAATAGATGAGCACCTGCCAATTTACTGTCTTTGTAAAAGCTATTCCTTTTGGATTGCTTTTCTTTAGATAGTACAGGTTTTCCTCCCCAATCAGGCCTTTGCTGGACTGTATAACTTTGTTAACTCAGTGGCAAGGCATGCATTGTAGCCACACTCTTTCCTCCCAAGGCAATTAGCTTGGATTGCTGCCGCAGCTCCCTAACTAGTTTCTAGCATTTTCCCCAGTAGTCTGTTGTTTATAGCTCTCAGAGTAATCCTATCCAAACCAAAGTGAGACTTCCCAGCTGTGCCTCTCTAGCTACTGAGAAGCAAACCCACAGTCCTCACAGCAGCCTGTCTCTCGTCCTTCCCTCTGCCTCTACATTTATCCCTACTCCTTCCCTCCCCCTGGTACTCAGCCCTAGCTTGTCCTAGCTGAACAGGTTGAAGGAATATGTGGGTATGTGTCCATCTTATTGTCTCTGTGGAAATTCTTCTGAAATGCTTTTCTCCAGGTAGCTATGAGGCTGCCTCCTCCCCTCTAACAGGTCTTTGTGGAATTATAATGTCATCAGTGCATTAGCAAGGCATGTATTATAGCCACCCTCTTCCCTCCCAGCACCCTACCCCAGCCCCCTGACTTCCTCATACTGCACAGTATGCTTATATACTTACTGTCTTTTGCTTGTGGTCTTTTCCTCTTGCTTTAGGTAAGTTTCCTGTGGAGGGGGCCCATTTTGGGTCATTGATGTGTTCTAAGTGTTTGTTATATTGTATCTTCAATAAATAAATTTTGCAAGTGTGCGTCCTGAGGAGCATGGGCCGTTCTTTGGAGGTTAGGCCCTTCACCGAAGTAAAGGGCAGGGAATTTTCCCCCAGGTCTTATATGACTGGCAGCCAGAGACCCACACTAAGCTTAGGATGGCGGCGGGGGGTGGGGGGTGTCTATCCTGTTCCTTTCTCACCTACAGCTTGCTGAAGATGCAGCTGTATGGGGATGTGCGTGAGTGTCTTGTGGGTTCACTCAAGTGTGTGCACACATACTTGTGCATGTGAGTGTGCCTGTGGCATCAAAGCTGACCAGTGAGCCCCAGGGACCCTCCTATCCCTGCTGCTTCTCTAGTGCTGTGATTATAGGTACATGCCTTCATATCCAGCTTTTTGTGTGTGGGTTTTGGGGGTTGCCTTTGGTCCTCATGCTTCTGGGGAAAGCACTTTACAGAGTGAGTCACTGCCTGGTCATCAAGATGCAGTTCACAATTGTGTATCTGCTTCAGGATACATGGAAAGGGCATCATTCCAATACACATGGTTGAGTGTTCTCAGTCCCGGCCCAAGGAAGTTCTTATTATGGGGGGAAGGGGGGCATGTCTGACAGCTGTATCTATCACCTTGTGGAGTCTGTTTACTCTCTAGTGTTAGCTTTTTGTGTGTTAGTCATTGTGTTGAAGGGCTGCTTAGGTCTCTACTCAGACAGCTACAGGTAGAGCGTGTCAAACGTGTCCTTGCTGCCTGGGTAACATGATGCCTGACTCTGAAAGCCACACAGTGCTTAGCATTTCAGGGAAGGTCTGTGTTTGTAAGGTGACACCAGATTGGGCTTCTGGCAGTCTGACTCCAGCTGGACCTATTTTAATGCTGTGCTTAAAATAATAAAAATGAAATAAAGTAAAACAAGCAGGCTGTCCACTTGTTAATCACCTGTCAGTTTCTGTTGAGCTGCCTGCCATGAGTGAGAGAAGTCCTCATGTGGTACCCTGAGAGGAAGCTGGTAAGGGCCACTCATGAACCCAGTCTGGGAGTGGAGAGGATTAAATCCCAAGAGTTGTCGAGAGCCCCCAACCCAGGCTTCAGTCTTAGAGATAGGCTGCACCTAATGTCATGGAGCTAACAGCCATCTTGTTGGCCAGGCTTATGCTCCTTGCTAGAATGTATTCGGCTTCTTATAAAGTGGGCCCTTGTTCTTAAGGACCCCCTTGTTTTTCAATCACTGACTCCCCTCTCTTTTCTTGTGATTGCCTTAGGGAGGTTCATAAGTACTAGAAAATGCCAGGGACAGAACCAAGGAGCCACCTTAGTTATGATCAGAGAAGTATGCTAGAAGTTGACCAAGTCCTTGGCAGTTGATTGAGACTGCTGGGTGGGGGCAATTCTAGCCCTGAGTTTTCAATTCTGGGTTATTTTTGTAACTTCATCACAGAGGCAGAAGGGCAGAGCAGAAGCCTTTGAAGCCTACTTCAGAGGCCCATTGCCTCCACTGTGCCCCTCCCCCCACTTCCTATGTCTTTCATCTCTGCTTTTATCTAGATCACCACAGTTAATTATTTCCCCTAATATTAGCTGGCCCACTCTGCGACTCTGTGATGAGGAGGAGGTTTTCCGTCAGCTCTCCAGGAGAACCTTGTGGTTTCTGTAGAAAACACACTTGGCAGCAAGATTTTGGCGGCCCAAAGTAGAGACATCAGAATGGCCA